TCTATCAAATCCAGGTTTCTTCACATTCATATCAGGTCCATCAATATCCCCTTCAACAGACGGACCATCAAAATCAGGTCCCTTGAATCCTGGTTTCTTCATTTTCCAGTCTGGCAAATGGATGTCAGGTTTCTTAAATTTCCAACCAAGTTTCTTAGCTTTTCCATCGGGTCCCTCGATGTCAGCATCAAGCTCTGGACCTTCCATATCTGGTCCCTCGATATGGGGTCCTTTGACGTTTAGGTCAGGTCTATCGATTTCTCCATCGAACCTCGGTTTGGTACCTTTAAACTTAGGGCCTTTAATGTCTCCTGATAGATTTGGTTTTTCAAATTCTGGTCCCTCGAATCCGGGTTTCTTAAATCCAAGAGAGGGACCTTTGGGGCCACTCATATCTATGTCAGGGCCTCTGACATTTGATCCTTTTGGGTCTTTAAAACCTGGTCCTTGGATACTCATGTCTGGTTTATCGATATCAACATCTACGGATGGCCCACTTCTATCGATTTTTGGTCCATCGAAAGTCATCCCCGCTGATCCCGACGGTAGCTCGTATTCCAAATCTGAGTCATTTGCCCCTGTTTTTGATCCACACCAATTGAGCTTAGGCTTTTTGACTTTATTTTTTGAACGTTTGACTGATGGTCTGTCAATATCCACGTCAACATCTGGACCTTTACCAGATACCTTTCCTTTTGGGTATTTAACATCAGGTCCATCGAAGTCCGCTTTGGCTGAGACTTTTCCTTTCGGTCCCTTGAAACCGGGCCCTTTAAATTTAACGTCTGGAGCATCAAGGTCTTCTTCAATTGATGGTACTTCCACTTTTCCTTCTGGGCTATTTAGTCCTGCTGACCCTGAAGGGAGCTTGTACTCGTCATCAGAATCGTCCATTTCTTTACTTGATCCACAGCACTTTAGCTTAGGACCTTTCAGTTTTGGCTTTTGGGCGCCATTTATGGAAGGTCCATTAATGTCAGGGCTGTTGATATCTGCATCAATATTAGGTCCTTTGGGTCCTTTAATGTTAACATCAGGACCATCGATACCTCCATCGAAATTAGGACCACTAAGTCCACCAGAGAGTTTTCCTTTAGGTCCTTTCGGTCCCTTAAATCCAGGTCCCTTTATGTTCACGTCAGGGCCATCGATGTCTCCGTTAAATGATGGCCCAGCAATATTTGAACCACTTAGTTTTCCTTTGGGAACTTTAAAGCCAGGCCCTTTCACGTTCACGTCAGGGTTATCAATGTTAGCATTGGGACCATCAAAACCACCGGACAGTTTTCCTTTAGGCCCCTTAAATCCAGGCCCTTTAACGTTCACATCAGGGCCATCGATGTCTCCATTAAATGATGGACCATTAACGTCGG